CACTTTACACAGACTAGTTTACTTAACCTCAATTTTATTTTCACAGACAAGTCTGTCAAGTTTAGTTTTAATACTACTATTTTAGTGATCTGATCAAATAGTTGAGTCTAAGTTTACAAAATTAACATGTAGGGGAGCTGGAATTTGAGTCTAGTTTTACCCAGCTCCAAAATCCTTAGGTTTTCTAGCAGAAAAAGTGAGGGTGGAGAAGCAAAATGAGGAGAAGGTGGAACAGATGCTCTACCCACAGGAGAGAGAAATAACATCACAGAACAGGCGAAGGAAAATGCACAAAGGTCTCTCACTGTCTGGGTCAAGAAAAACAAAAGATCGCAGAACATAATTCAAAGGTAGAAACACTTGCATATGTCAAAAGAGGGAAATATGAAGGAAGAGAGCATTGGTGTACCCAATACTCCTTCTGCTTCTGTCTCTAGGCCTCGCCAGCTTTAAATGGCTTTACATCCTTCTGTTGCAGATTCTGGGTGAAAAGACCACAGCAGAGTCTATCCATAATAAAATGTTACCAGGATTTTTGAATCACTCAATATAACAGGGCATCCAAGATACTGGAAGTATCACTCTAGGAAGAGTTCCAATAATATAAAGTATAAACAATTTTCATAGGTCCTCATGATGAAATGAAGAACACGAGAAACGGTAAATATGTTAATTAAATATAAAAAACTATTTAGAGAACTATTAAAGACCACTGACTCTTTGGACAACAAATAAAAACTTATGAGACATTAGAGCCTTGATTAGCACCCGCACACTGGCCCTGTCATCTTGTAATGCTCCCTCTTTTGGGACCCTGAGCTTCCATATTAAGAGATCTGGTCAACCTCCTGAGAGCCCATACAGAGAAAGAGCGATGCAGCCAGCTTCCCAGAAGTTCTAACAATCTTAACTGATCAACTACCTAGTGACACGTGAGGGAACCCATCTCGGATTTCCACCCCCCGGTGAGCTTTCAAATGAATACAAATATAAGATTCACTCCAAGCAAGCTCAGCAGAAGAACCACTAAACTGAGTCGAGCCAAGATTGCATAATAATGAGCAAATGAATGAAGTGGTTTATTGTGCTGTAATAGACAACTGGCAGACCTTTCAGTAAGGTAAACCGATGGCTCTGTGTGTGCGTGTGTGCTTTAATTACTTCTCATATGCCAGGTCTATGCAGTATCAGGAAAACAACAGTGTATAATATTCCAGATGATAAGAACATCACAAACCACTCGGTTATTTCCATCTATTTTTTTTATTCAGTTATGCACACACAAGTCTGTAGTAAGACATTTATTACAATAGATTGATATAATATCAACATTCTCTCCTGTGTAATTTGTCCTATTAGACAACATATTTATGAAATGATTTGGTTACAAAGTGTTACCAACTGTTAAAATGGAAGGAAAGTGCATCTTAAAAGTAAAATGTTTTTATATGTGGAACTAAGGTGGTTGTTTCTAAACACATATTGTTCGGCCTCGCTCTTTTTCTTCTTCATAAACATTCATTACTTTACCTTCATTCTTTTTAAAGGATTATTCAGCTCTCGCTGGAATGAAGCTGCTCTTCCTGAAAGGAAGGTCTGAAAGGCAACAGCCAACAAATTTTCATACTTTTCAAGTAGTGTTTTATCTTCAGGAGGATAAATTCGTCTACAATAAAAATCAGATAAACCAACTTGTTTAGAAAAAAAAAAAACTATCACAGCCCAAGAGTTAAGGTCAATTACAACGATAGATAATCCTTGACCATCTACTCTGTGCCAGTCACTTTACTAGGTGCTAGAAAGAAAGATGAATGCAGTTATGAGAAATTCATACATTTTCATCTGTTACCCATACAAAGTTCATCTAGAGAATTATCATTAAACAATGCAGTTCCAAAAGGCAAAGTATAAAGGTTTGGTTGGAGGGAAATAGCTGAAGAATTGCAATGGGCATATGGGATTAACTTTATGGGCTTTACGGAAGAGAGTTTAGTTGATAAGAGATACATGTGGTTATCGAAGTGCACATGAATGATCTTTTTGGTGGTGGTGGAATTTGCCCCCGTGGTGGAGAGAAGTGGGTAGAGGTGGGAAAGGAATATGTTCTCATCACTACTGTTGGTGTTTGGGGCAGGAAAGAATGTCTTACCAAGAATGCAAGAAGCTCTCTGACCCCAAATCCTTCTAATTCTGCTGAGTTAGTGTCAAAGCTCAGGAGGAGGGGCAGTATTTCCAAGAACATAAGGAACGTGGGGGTCCCCTCTTCTCCTGTCAGAGTGATACTGTTCTAGTTCAGCCCAGTCCACACCCTTTCTATTGTCTCATTTCTAGTTCCTATGGATATTTTCAATATTTGCCTGGTTCTTGGTATATCTGAATTTAAAACAAAGTATGGCAACCACTTTGAACTGACAGAAAGAATAGCAAGAAACCTGAAACCTGACTTGCTCAAAATAGCACATTATGATTAAACAAGGTCACATGACAACATCAGGCTTCAAACACTGCATACAACCCCCCTGAAGGGGGGCTAGCAGGGGCGCTGCCCGCGTCGGGACCCTCTACCTGCTGCTTAGCTTTCCTTTCTGGAAATAAACAAAAAGCACTTTCTCAGAATGAAATAAACAGTGCTTAAAATAAGTCTAAAAGGTTGAAACATGCAGACTAATTATTCAGACACCTCACTTCTCCAGTCTATTAAAAAACATGGCAGCACAGTTACCTATAATTCCCCATGTGTCGATTTTCGTGTTCTTCTTTTGAGATCTGCTTTCGTACCTGAGCGAGTCTCTCTTTCTAAAAATGAAGAAGGTTTACAAATAAAACCTGACAAATGAATCACGCGATGCAAATTGTAGGTACGTTGTTAACACTTTCATACCAACTCTTCTTTCCGTCTCTCCAACTGGTGTCTCTGCTGTTCCCAATCCGAGGAACCAGGTAAGAGCCTTTTTATTGAATTTTGACCATAAAGCCTCCTTTGAGCCTCAGCTTTTTGTTTAGCCAAGTTTCTCCTTTTATCACTGGTCCTGAAATATAAAACACCAGACCATGTTCTAGAGTTCAAATAAGCTCTGATTTTATCCCTGTGCACCTGACCTTGGACCACCAGAACTGTGAGAACTCAATTTCCATTGTTTATAACCTATTCAGTCTATGGTGTTTTGTCATAGCAGCCCAAACAGACTGAAACAGATAGAATGCTATTTCATAAGCAAATATGAACTATGGGAGCCAGGACCAGGGAAGCAGCAGTGGGATTAGAGAAAAAGGAACAATCTGGAGGGTTGTTTTGGAGGAAGAATGAATGAACTTTGATGATTAATTAGATGTGAGGAGTAACAAAAAGAGATGACTTGACATGACAACAAGATTTCTGATTTTAGTGACTGGATGATGGAGAATATCATTTTTCCAATGATAAATACTAAATTTGGCTGAGTTTTCTTTGTTTAGGGAGAAGAGACATGTAGTTTAGGTAGCTCTTAATTTTTAATTTTTTGATATTCCACTTAATTTAGACCAATCATTTCTCTATATCATACAATTTAAAGGAAGGAGAGAAGACAAAAGGGGAACAGAAATGAAAAGAATCAAGAAGAACAAAGACCGAACAATTGGTAAGAAACAAATTTAAGAGAGGAAGAAAAAGATGAAATGACAGGAAAGAGGAAGGGAGAATTTTAAAAAGGACAGAGAATATTATGATGGGAATGCTGTGGGAGAAATGAACAGAGCTGCATGCACACCCACAGCAAACACGACACTCCCAGACGAGGACACTGACACACACACTGTCCGAGCACACACAAATGAAGGAGAGTAACAGAAACAAGCACGCAGAGAAGTTCCTCGGGACACACTGAGAAACAAAGAAAAGCCAATCATACTGAGACACTTTCTCTAGAGGAATGCTCCCATATTCTGGCCTTTGGGAATACTGCCACCCTAAAAATTGTGTTTTCATTTCTATAAATATAGGTATAAATCAACATTAATGACTCTTAGTCCAAAATAAAATTTAACCAAAGACCAAAAGATCTCCATCTCCATTCACACTGCATTTTAATCAGCATTTTTCCATTCGGCTGTGTCCATACACTGACCTAAGGAGTTCTGTTGACACTTTCTGGAGCCCTTTCTGCTATTCATTACCCTGTGATCCCATCCAAGGGATTTCTTTTTCTAATCAGCTGGTCTCGTATACTCAAGATCCTGTAATATGGAATCACTGAACACTCTGTAAACACACTGTGCTTGCCTCACTTCCTCATCTTCCCACAAGTAGTTACCTTTGAATGACATGTCCGTCCCCCACCCTTGTCTTCCAGCCCAAATTTTATTTAGTGCTGGTTCTAGATATGGCCCTGGGAATACAAAGATGAACATACAGGCCACCCGCCCTCAAGTTGCAGAGTGTAAAGGGGGTGGGGGCGATGACATGTGACTAAATAGGGTACAGTGGGTGTCATTTACAAAGTGATAGTAAAGATGGTGATGGCACAAGGGAGGGAAGTAAGCTACTTTGTCCCAGCAAAGGCTTCAAATAGAAAGTCAGGTTTGATCTAGGTATTTAAGAATGAATTGACAAAAATGTGGTATATACACACAATGGAATATTATTTGGCCTTAAAAAAGGAAGGAAATTCTGACATGCTACAGCATGGATGAACCTTGAAGACATTATGCTAAGTGAAATATGGCAGTCACAAAAGGGCAAATACCATATGATTGTACTTATACTGAGAGGAGTCAAACTCATAGAGACAGATAGTGGGATGGTGGTTGCCAGGGGCTGGTGAGAGGGGAAACTGGGGGTTGTTTAATGGGTACAGAATTTCAGTTTCACATAATGAAAACCGTTCTGGAGAAGAATGGTAATGGTTGTGTAATAATGTGAATGCACTTAATGCTACTGAATTACACACTTAAAAATGGTTAAGATAGTAAATTTTAAGGATATTTTCCCACAATTTTTTTTAATGAGTTGACATTCACCAGAGGGACAAAGCTAAAAGAAAATTTAGTTTTCATTTGTGGGAATACACACAAAACCATGGACATGTGAAGCAGCACCACATAAGAGTTCCCAGAAAAATTAATTCCAAGGCAGGGATAAGAGAACACAAAGTGATTCAGTTGGCAAGAGACGCGAGGGCCAGATCAAAAAGAGTCTTGTGTCTAAAGACCAAAAAAGCCTTGTATGTAATGTTTAAACTTCATCGGATGGTGTGGAAACAACCTGATCAGAATATTTGAGTTTATAAACGTCTCTTTAAATGTTGGCATCCCTCAGGCTCTGCCCTCGCCTCTCCTTACTTCTCAACATATACACTCCAGCTGTGGGTTCTGACCCATTAGATTTAACAGCAATCTGTACACGGATGTCAGTCACACAGATGTCTCTGTCCCCTGGGGCCTGCAGATCGAAGTCTCCACTTAACCATTCTGCCTGGGTATCTCAAAGCACCTCAAAAGTAGTATGTTTAACGCTGCATTATCTCTTCATTTCTGCCTTCCTCCTTCACTTCTAAGGCTTCTTCTCACCTAAAATCTTTATCTAAGTAAATGACATATTGTCATTTACACGGCCCGCAGGGAGCTGCAAATGCATTTTGTTTGACATATTGTCAAACAAAGTCATCCAAGCCAGAAACCTAGAATCAAGGCAGACTTTGAATTCCTAGTACCTACTCATCTAGTGGTGGGCACTCAAAAACACTTGTTAAATGACTTTCAGGAAACTGCAAAATGGGGTGAAGGTTAGCGCTGAAGGAAAGTGGGCAGCCAGTAAAACAGTCCAGGAGAGAAATGAGAAGTCCTTTAAGTTGAAGAGGAGACTGAGAAATTAAGTGGAAGTCACACATTTGAAGTATTCAGTTGATTCATAATAAAGGGAGGAGTTAGGAATAACTCGCAGCTTTCTGGCTGGCTGTCCCATTAACTGGGAAAGCAAAGAAAGACAGAAAACAAGATTTGGGTGATTATCACTGTATGTATGTTTCCATGAGCATACAGTTTCCCGTTTAATAGTTGAACTACATAAGGAGAGGAACTTTCACTCAATTTTGTACCTTTAGCTTCTAGTATAATATACGCTAAGAGTGTATATTACATATAGAGTTACATTTAGCCCTTGTGGTTTAGAAGAAATTGATGCCCTTAGCAGAAGAAAGGAGAGAAATGCAGCCAGAGAAATATGATTGAAGGAGGAGAAGACTCAACTTTGGTCACACTGAAGTTTAAAGTGCCATCAGGACATCCATCCATCCATTCATTGACTTACTCCCCAACTTGCTAGCTCACTCATCACTCTTTGTTCATTGAGCCCCTGTTAGACCAGAAGCACCTCGAGTACACGGCCCGCAGGGAGCTGCAGATGCAAGCGCAGAGTGCCAGAGTGGGTCAGAGAGGACCGCCAGTCTACATCTCACTTCTTCCGGGTGCAGATTTAGGACTCTTGTGGATTTTCTTCAGACCAAAGGTATCTGTTCACAGAACGAACTCTGGGATATACATGAAGCCATACTCTATGTAAAGCACTGCACTAAGAACTGTGCAGAATGTCAAAGTATATACTCCTTGACTTTAGGGATCTTCAATTAAATTGAAAAGAAAAGTCAGCCATGCCCAAGTCAAATAGCACAGAACTAGAGAGAGTAAACGAAATGATAAGCCATGTACTTGCAAACTACAATTCCTTTTGGAGCTCAAAGAAAGGAAAGACTAATTGGAATAAAAGGTTGGACGATGTTACAGTAAACGATGAGATCTGAGTCACACGCAGTAAGGAAAGGCATTCAGGGCAGGGAAGAGAATAAATCATCAGTGGGAATGCACAAGACATGGGGGAAAATAATGAGATAATCAGCTTAACTAAGATAGTTTGGGTTGGAGAGAAACAAGAAATAAGACGAAAAAGCTAACATTAAGTTACATTATGAAAGGAGCTTAGACCAGGTGTTGGCAATAGAAATCCATTTAGGTTCTTGAGCAGAGAGGTAACACAATGGAAAAAGATCATCCTGATAGTCTGGCTAACATGAATGTAAATACAGAATGTCTGACATTATAGAACAATTTATTCTATCCAAAAGTAAAACAGTTCAAATAAAAATTAACCCAATTTAACCCAATAGTATTTAATAAATAGGCAGGAATTTTCCTACTGTTCTTAGTTCCTGCTTGTGTGTTGCTACAATGTGCCCGTGCCACACCTGGCCAAAGCGAAGTACAAGGCTAACACACACATGCCCAAGAAGCTCTCCACCTGGGTGGAGAGGAAAGGTATATACATAAAACATAAGCTTCATTAGCATATGCTCTAAATGTTAAGAATTGTGCTAAAGTACCCTAGTGGAACAACACTAAGAAAAATAAGGAAGATGAATTCCAACTCTCCCTTAGCTTTAGGTCTAGAAATTTCTCACCATCTAAACTGCATATATCTTACTTTTAAAAAGACCAAAAACACCCATGGATGATGTTCTGAATTGATACTATCATTGACAAAGTCCAAAGACATGAAGAAAAAGGACCACCTATACAGTAATAAAAAATGCAAAAAATGTATAGACAGATGGCTTTAATAATCTAAAATACTTGATACACTTGTGTAAGCTAAATAAACAAAATTTCCCCATTCTATATCTCTTTCCTTTCTACTCATTTCTTTTAGAATAATGGAAATAGCAGTAGAATTTAGGCAAATCATTCTTTGATCACACAAAAGAGGGGACCATATGAAAATTTCTGAGAATTTCATGTGTCAATCTCTTTTTATAATAATGCTTTCATATAAAACTATTTCTCAACCAGGCATCTGCTAAATGCTTGGAAACTTTTCAAATAAATAGTTTGGAAGCATTCCACTTCCCTTTTAGAGTTTTTGAAATGACAATTAGAATCTATCAAAATCATAAAATCCCTGAGCTTAAATGACTTCAGAGGTCCTTTGAGCCAATATCCTAAATGCTATTTGAACACTTATAATGGCAGACAATTCATTACTTCATTAAACAGTTCAGTTAAACAATTTCTTTCACGATGGGCCAAAAAGCTTTCCCGCAAAATAGCATTTCAAATATTTGACCTCCATGATCATGTACTCTGCAACCAGCCTGGTAATATTTCATTGATCCAGCAATCCCACTTCTGGGTATATATCAAAAGGAGTTGAAATCAGGATTCAAAGAGAGATCTGCACTCTCACATTCACTGCAGCATTATTCACAACAGCCAAGACATGGAAGCAACTTACGTAAATGTTCACCAGTGGATGAATGGATAAAGAAAATGTAATGTATCTATATATGATGGAATAGCATTGAGCCTTAAAAAAGAAGGAAATCTTGTCTATGCTTCTCAGTGGGAAAGTCACCTCTCACTTAACTGCTTCTCTTTTCTGTTTACCCAGGTGGCCGTGATACAGCAGGAAGACTTCTGACTGAAAGGGAGGAAATGCACGTCTGGGGTTCTTTTACTTCCTGGATGATCTCTGTGCTTTAAATTCTTCTTGTGAGGTGAGGAACATAATCTAGCGGGTTTCCTAAGGTATTCCGCAATTTGACTTCACACTCTGTGTTAAGTAATTACACCAAATGCAATTTAACCATATTTACTGTTGGTTCAGATCATTATATGTGGAGAAGGAGAAGCAGAGTTCAGGAGGAGGGGAAAAGACATTTAAAAAGAAAAAGCTAAATGGGTTTGAAGAACAGAGTCAAGAAATTAGAAACACAAAATTCAAAACCTACAAGCCAATTCCATGTACAAATGATTGTTCTATGCCAAATATGGTGGGAAAAACTCCAAAAGAGCAGGAAACACTTTACCTGATATTTAGTAGCTTCAGTGCATTTAGCAGCACTCCCCTTTTTACATCATAATCTATTTTTTGATCAGTACCAAAGCTTGGAGCGCGGTTGATCTGAAATTTACAAAGAAAACAACAAGTAATCAAATGTTGGTGGGTCATTAATATTCAGGACAAATTTGTTAACCTAATGTGGGGCCCCAACCGGTAAAAGGACTCTACAATAAATCACAAAGCTCTATATAGGAGATGGCCTGGGCACCATCGCCACACCTCCCTTCCTCATCACCTTAAGGCAAATCTGTCCTCACTGCCCCTTCCCCCTGCTGCTTTAGTTCAGGATCTTCAGTCAGCACCCCTGCCCTCCCCTCCTTTCCAGTCTCTCCAGTCTACTCCCCCGTGCCCTCTAGGTCTTAAGTGCAGTGAAGCTGAAGTGACTCGTCCTGAGAGAAGGGTTGGAGGACCAGTAATAGTAACAATGATAAATAGAAATGTAACAAAAATTATGCATGTTCCCAATGTGGTGATAATTAGCATACGGAAACTATCACTGCCCTCCTCCCACTGCTCTCAGATCTTCTGGATGAATTACTGCCTAAATATAAATTTTATTTCTTTCTACCTGGATCAAACAGTAATTCGTCAATCTTCATTTTATCTCATTTCATTGACTGTATTACTCAGAGGACACCACTAAAGATGGCTGCAGACCAACCTCTATGAGCTTCTCTGTTTAAGGACTTGTAGAAATAAATGAGGCATTTGTGGTTGTTCTACTTTCCCACATCATTTCCAGGATTTCATTACAATGAAAAATCAGAAGTAACTGCATAGACATCCTGAAATCTAGTACACAATATACTACGACTTCAATAGCCAGAGTATTTTTTTGTCTTTGTTATTGTTGTTGCTGTTATGAAAATGTAATTGTAACAGCAGATGTTTAAGAAAATTACTCAGTTAACTCAACTGGTGAGAACACTGCTGAGTTCAAAACTAGGACCACCAACTAACCCCACACACCATCTCAAAAACATGCATGCTGCTAGTCACAGAAGAAGGTTGTCTTACACAAATCCATCACCACAAGAGATAAGATAATCGACAGCACGCATTTTACAACTGGTAGCTGAAGGAAATACCATATTATACTTAAGAAATCATCTAGGAACACAGACGCCTCTAATTAGGAATGTGGTCCAGGCTCACCGCAGAGAAACCAGTAAACAGAAGGCAAACGAACAACAGGAAGATCACCTGTAACCCCACCACCTAGTGTATTGCTAATCATTCGACAAATGGTGTCCCACACATCTGCTATGCATACATACTTATAATATTCATTTTACCTTCTGAATACATCTCTATGCTAAATGTACTATTTTATAATCCAAGTTCCTCTCTTAATAATGAATCATGAAACTCTTATCACGCCATCATTTTGATGGCTGCATGATACTCCTTTTATAGAAATACTCCAAACTGTATATTTTGAAGAGAGATGTGCCTTACTGTATCATGCCTTTGCTGATTCTGATTTAGAAGGTGATGAACACATTCCCATCCGTGTGACGTGGTCTCAAGGGGAAGAGAATAGCTTGGTAATTGCAAGAACATCCATTTATTCCAGGTAAATTTGAAAAAGGAAGTTTATTAACCTGCTACTTCAAAGTTCCAAGTATTTCCTCTTACAAGTGCAGAGAAAGCATAAAGCAATGTACTTTATAGATGAAAAAGTTTCAACCAGTCAATACTGACTCAAACCTCTGGAATTTGTAATGCAGTTAAAGATAGTTCTGCTGCTATAGGTAACATGATTATAAATAAACCAGGTTTTTATGATCTGATGATTAAGTGGTTCACTGAAATATTTGTATAGAATTCCTTAGCGTTTCATTCCAAAACTGTGGTCTGGAATTCTACCAGACATATCCCTTCTCCAGGATGTTAGTGAGATCTGGTACAACACAATCTCAGACCCTCTCTCTTACCTATTTCAGAGTCTTCACTCTACTATCATACAAAAGAAATTAGTCTATGAAGAAATGTACCTTCACATTAAATAAACTAATATATGGAGAGGCAGAAAAACTTAATTCAATTAAAATTCTGGATTTTTTTAAAAGCCTTATGAGAAAGGTAAAGAATTATAAAAGAACCACCACAAACAGCTGACAGAAGAAACTGGAAATCAGGGTCCCACCCCGTCAAAATTCTACTCTGTAATGTGGATGGATTCTTTGGTTCTCATTTCCTATCCTAATTGTAAAAGACAAAACCCCCAGGTGTTAGTCTTAAAGCACAGCAGCTTGTAAGTGCATGCAAAAATGAAAATTATTCGAAAGAAAATTAAATTAATAAATACTATCTATTAACTGCCCAAATCATAATTTAATTATCAAAACAGCTTAATCATTTCTTGCACAAATAAGTTTCCATAATAGATTATGTGCCCCTAAATGAATGCTGTTTCCTCTGGCCAGTAAGTTCCCCCCACCCCAACCCCAACTGTCCCTGCCCCCGCCCTTACCCTACTTTCCACAGCCTTAAGTACTCTGCTCAGGTGTTCCCTTTTGTGCAAAGACTGTTTTCTTTTCATCCTGGATCCGGCCCTCCCACTGCCCCTAAGAAGAGTTTTTAAACCCTCAAATATACACATGCACACAGAGAGATTAATCACTGCGTTGTCTGTGCTAACTCCCTGTCCCCGACTTACACTTGTAACTATTACCATAAAACAGAACTGAGTCCCCATTACACCAGGGCAAGTATTGTCTCATTTTTCTTCTATCTCCACCAACCTGGCACATGACTTGTTGAAATTAACTCAAGGATACTTAAAGTGCTGGCATTATATTCACACTCCACTCAGTTTCCATGTTCTTTCCTAAAAATGTTTTCTATGATTGAAAATCTCTGCAATTTTGCCACTACGAATCACTCCCTGCGATTGTTCCAGTTAATATGAAAGTTATCACATTCTCAGAGGCACCGTCTACCTTAGGCCACTTGATGGCGCCAAAAGGTTTTTAACAACGTGTATGAGAACTACTGCGATTGCAGCAGGGAGAAAACACAGACGCAAGATCTAAATAAGATTCTTCTGCTTTGATATAATAAATGCTCATCACCCAAGATGTTGGTTATTGTGGAGTTTCTTAAGTGGTTATGATCGATCTGAAAATGATTTTAAAAATGATCAGAAAATGAAAATAAGTTAATGAAAAATAATGCTATTTAGCTCTTGGCATTGTGGAGCTTTCAGTGGTTCTTACTGATCTGGAAATGATGAGGGAGAGAATAAAGTAGGAAGAAACATGAAAGCAAACAATGGTATTTTGAGCCTTTAAAAATACAGAATTCAACCATTCAGTCAATTCTGATCCAAGCTAATGCAAAGTTCCAGCCGGGCAAGGGCTTTTAAGAATAAGTAAATAAAACATCTCTAAAGCCATCATTCCTTGTTCTCCTTCCAGTCCTGCCTCACGCACTTGCCTCCACTTCTTCCCCAGCCCATCAAGGATAAAAGGCCAAAGCGGGGGGAAGAAAGAATTCAGGTACAAACAGGCAACTAAGAACAGGGAAACAGTAAAGCTAAAGAAGAAAATGTCAGGCTTTAGTAAGATGAGGGGCCCACAGTCCAGAGTCAAGAGCTTTCACATCTAAGGGATGGAGGAGCAAAATGACAAGCAAAATTCTTCACATTTATATTGTTTCTAGGACCCAGGCAGAAGCAAAATATGAACACCTGACAGAACTGTCTTTGACTGGAAATAAAATACACATTATTTGCTCATAGTAGATTAAACACACATATACTCGAAACCAGTAGCCCTCAAATAAGAAAAGTGTTCTTTCCTAAAAACATATTTTGAATGTCTTGATCTCACCTATTGCTCAATTTGCTTTCACAAACCTTGATGTTACAGATGTAACTTCCAACTTCTAAATCATTAACAAAAAAAGAGATAATCAACTTAAAATGAAAGTTGTTGATACCCTCTATTTGTTTGTTATTGATATTTTCTATTGTAACGTGCTCCTTAACATGTAACTAACGCAGTGAGCACTGAGTGTTTAGGTAGGTGCTCATCTCCTGACAAAGTTTCCTACACGCCGAATTTTGTGGCCATGTCACCTCTGACCATGGGGCAATATGATCAGGGAACTGAGGGGGAACAGCTGGGCGGGGTCCTATGGGACCACATGACTGCTAAGGTTTCTTCTGTATATAATATAAATACAAACATGGCTGAAAAGAAAGTGCAAAAATCTTAAACAGAGACCATTTGTATTTCTCCCTTATATCACTCCATATTTTCCAAATGTTAGTGACTTTCTATAACCGAAGAAAAATAATGATGACTGACCATCCCAGGGACTGGCAGCAAACCCAAAGGCACAGATGACAGGCCAGTCATGAGGGGAGCCCGAGGCACAGCATATGGCCTTAAACTAGAATATGACATGCCACCTGGGCTGTGAGGGATCGAATACTGATTAATGAGCCAAATGGAGCCTCTCTCCTCTTGGAGAGTTTGAAGGGGAGGCACACTGAAGCCAGGAGGGGCCACAGTCCTGCAGCCCTGGAACCCACACAGAGGAAAGCCAACAGCCAAGAGTCATGACATGGTAGAGCTGTGAGGCTGAGAAAACAGTGGAGAAAGTAGACAACAGATGAGCAAGAGCAGGTCCAGGCATATGCGCAAAATTCCTGGCCTAGAAATTCACCCAATACTAATCTGGGAGAACTAACATTGAACACACACTGATTCTTGGCACTGCTCTAGTCCTTGCATTTTCATTCGCTTCCTCTCACACACTCCATTCAGGCCTCTTTCCGCTCAATTAATGAAACAACTGTGCCAAGCACACATTTAAAAAACATTTGTTTTAATATACAAGAACAGTGATCACTTGTCTTTCTTCTTAAAGAAAACGCCTTACCTCCAGGAGCCATGGCTTTAGTTTTCTATCCAACAAAATGTCAAACCCCAGGACTTCGAAGCAGACACTTTCACTTCCTGGAGGCTGACCGGGTCTGCACATTCGGTATGCGTGCAGGACATGAGGTTCTGCTACAATCAGAGTCTTTACCACCAATTCCTATAAAGATTGTGATACAAAAATAAAATAAAAAGCCTTATTTCTTTGCATCTCGTTTACATATGTGGAAATAAGGCCTGGACTTCCACACTAGCGCCCTGGCAGGTTCACAACGCTCTCTGGGATCTAACCCCTGCCGCTGCTCTGACTTCGTTTCATCCCTGTCTTCCCCTGCCCACCGCGCTCCAGCCATGCTCGCCTTCTCTGGGCCTCCTGCGCTGGCTGTTCCCTCTTCCTGGAACACTCTTCCCAAGTCTAGCTCCTTGATATGCAGAGAGTCCTTCCCTGACCCGAGTTAAAAGTAGGCCCCCATACAGCATTCCTCAGGGCAACATACACAGCCTAGCACCAGCTGACCTTTTTCCTGTTTTGTTAGAACAGAGTCCTTGTCTGTATTATTTACAAGCCCATTCCTAGTGCTCATGACGGTATTTAGCAGTTAGTAAATGCTCAAAGGCACTTGTGACCAGATAAAAGTTTATAAATGTGGCTTCTATTTGTTAAATAAGTAAGGTAGGATCATAGGCTCCTCTTCTCAGAAACCACACAGAAGGGGAGGGGAGGGGAGGGAAGGAAATTCCAAGAAGAGTAAACTATTTCACAAACAGTATTACAGAACCTCGACCTAGACAAAGGCTGACAGGCCAAGAGGGCACAATCGAGGAGAGCTGGGTTTCCCTGTGCAGACTTGTACCTCACATACATAAAAAGCATTCAGTAAGGATGATTTTTATGAGTGATTATAGTCATTTTTAATCTCCATAGTCTGTTTTTCTATTCATTCCTTATTCATTCTTGACCAGCACAAAAGCACAAATATCTATCTGTTCTTCATAAACGGTATTGATGCATGTTAGTTTTCATATGTAGACAGCTACTTTTTAGAGAAATTACCATCAATAAAGTGGGAAAAAAAAAGTCCTAAGTTAAATTCATGACATTCGTAAACTATTAAGATAAAAATGTAGGTTCTAACAGAGAAGTGACTTTCCCTAGCATCGTACTAGCATTAGTCTTAGCTGTTCAGCTCCTCCTAACTCAGCTATGTGGGCGAAGTACCGCTTTAAATCAACGTGTAAAGCTAATGGCAACTCGCTTTTCTCTTTGACTGATTCTTTCCGTGGACTCCTCACCAAGGCAACCCAACAGGTTCTACCTTTTCACAAAGACTTCCTTGAAGAATCAAATCCACATAGAAGTGGAAATTTGGGTAAACAGAGGGTATAAAAACTTCCTTCATCTCCTTGAGCTAATCATCAAATGACCCATTCATTAAATTACCCAGGTATCACCAAGTATGCTCTTCCATCAATAAGCTGTGTCCAAAAGTTGTAAAAATGTCACCACTCTGATGCTTCTGACTCACATGGTAGTAAGCTATCATTAAAATTTTTTTTGAATTTCCAAAAAAATTAGCCTTGATAAAATAAATAAACAAATAGCATTTGGGGGGACAAATTTCTTTTTTGGATGTATTTAGTCTCTCAGGAAGACATAACAGAAGTTAACAAGTTGGTGAGAATCTGACCAAATCCAAATGACAAACTTTAAAATTTGATGGAGTCCCTACAGTTTTAAAAATTTTGAATTTGTTGCCAACCTTTCTAAATCAGGAGATGTATGGCCTCTATTGACAAATGAAAAGAGTGAGGCACGCTGGGCCCAAAATACCACATGGTACCAACAGGCTGGTGCTGAGCGGTGTCTATTCCCTTTAGAACCCTTATGCTCTTCAAATTACCACCATCATCCAAAAGGTAAATTATTCTGATTTTCTCAAGAGAACTAAGTTCAACCAACAATGAGCTTTCATGTCCATTTTCCATGATATATTTATTAAAGTATATATCATTTGTCCCAAAAAGAAAGCTAAATCAAATTGTATAGCCCTAATCATGTTAAGTGTGTCAACAGACACACTCCTCTAACTTTGAATACCATTTTAATATTTCTGTTAAGATTAATGAAGGGTCTGTTTCACCAAGGTTACCTTCTCATATGTGTTTCCCTTCCTCTCTTTACCCTTACCATTTGGCATTTCATCAGCTGCCATGGCTTTAATTATCAATTGCACCCCATACATACACTCTTAACTGCCTGGCTTTAATTATCAATTGCACCCCATACATACACTCTTAACTGCCTGCTTGACTTTTCTACCTGAGACAGCATTTCAAGTTCAACGTGTCTAAAGAAGAATTCATCACAGCCTCATGGACTTTCAAAAACTTGGTTCAGGTGTCAATGCCTCCAGGCAGCCCTCCTCCTGCCCCCACCGACCCAAAGCTACCATGTGTGGTCTTCCTCTGCGTCCCCACAGAACCCAGTGGATGCCTCTATTTTTGTACTTGCTATGCTGCACTTCATGGACAATTTATCTGTGAGTTTCCCCTACCAAACTCTTAAGTGTTTGAGGCCTGGAGCTGTATTTTATTAATCTTCAAATTATCAGCCAGAGAAAGGCTTATACTATGGGTTCAATAAATGTTTACTGAATGAATGAACGCACTAACAAGTGAATAAGCAGAACTCTTTTCCCTTGTCTGCAAAACTAAGCTCTATAGCTTCTTCTCAAAATAAACTCCTTCCTGTTCTATTTCAGACAATGCCACACTCATTCTGCCTATAATTATTCCTTAAAACTGCAGAGGAATCTCTGAATACTTCTGCCCCCACCCTATTCTGAACATTCAGTTAACCCCAAGGCATATGGCATTGTCACCTCTTTTATTGCGGCTCAGTTTAGGCCATTCTTTCCACCTTCACCACACCCAGGTGCCCTCCCCCACCTCCTTTTGGTCTTCCCTCTAACCCATCCTGCATTCGGGTTCAGATTTGTCTTTTAAATTCACAGTCTTTGGCCTTATTACTCTCCTCTCTCAAATCTCCCTTAAAAACTGAATGAATCCTTACTGCCTACCAACTTCAGCCTTGATTTTCAGACTAAAATTTGGCCTCCACATACCTTTTCAGCCAAAAGTCCTCATGAATCTCCTGTAAGTACCATGTGGCCAGCCTGGACCGCTTTCAGCTATTCGCACACCTCCGTGCCCTCACTTACGCTTTTGCCTCCACTCAGAAGCCCTCCTCTCCCATCCCTCGCAGTAAAAATACTATGTATCTATTGGGGTCCATCACAAATTCCATCTTCTTCAGGAAAACACACTTTACCTGCCCAATCTAATGTAATCTGTTCTTTATCTTAAATGGTTGATGATTCTTTAAATTAATATGAGGAAAGACAGTTAAAATTGTGGCATGGTATAATCTTACTGAAATGTCACTCCAAAACTTGGCAACATCATGTTGATTTGCTTGCAGGAATTCTGTAAACCATCTGATGGAACGTTTGCTACCTTTGTTTTCAGTTTCGTCCCTTTCAAATCGCTCATTGTGCTTGTTCACGGAGTAGTTTGTCAGATGCATGTACAACTGGGTCTGTGATAAGTAAGAACCAAAGTTGTTACCACCTATGAGACTCAGGAATCATGTGGTTTCGTGGAAAAGAAAGCAGCCAAAGAGGAGAGACAAATTAAAAGTTTAAAATATACAGACTGAAAAAAATTAAATAAAATCAAACATATGGTTGAAAAATTAATTAATTAATTATACAGGTTGATAATTTGATGATTACATAGGTAATTTTCAAATTAAATGAAATGGCACATTTTTCTTAAAAAGGTTGTGAATGTAGTCATCTCCAGAGTTACTTTATATACTGTTCAAAATACATCTCCCAGAGAAAGTACTAAAATGATATGGATATACAGGGTAAGCAAGGGAAAATGGGACGACATATTACTAAGCAAGAAAACGTTCTAAGTTTGAAGTTTGTTTTTCTTAGCTGGTTTATTGTTAATGTTTTTCTAAGATTTTTCGTCCTAATTTTTTGGGGGGAAGGAATTTCCTGACAGAGCATTCTACATCTTTGCAAAGAGAATTTTTAAAAATGGAAGCTCAAGTCAGTAGCAGAACCCGAGAGGCAGGGTTACCAAACACAACCTCTGCCCTCCCGTACCGACTGGGCGATCACTTTAACGTGTTAGCAAGACAGAGCGCGCGCAGAGTCAGCACACAGCAGTGCCGCCCGGGGTGTGCCGGGCGCAGAATGACTGCAGTCACTTTATGAAAGTGCTCCATGTTGGGCATCTTGTATCTTAGTCTTTCCATATTCTTATGGTTGTTGTTGTCGTTATCCTCGAATAAACTGAAGAAGTACCCAAAATGTAAAACTTCTCATAATTGTCAATGAATATACATCTAATAGCTCCTTATCAACCTATTATAAACACTCATGAGGTCTATAAACCCCACCCTCAGGCTCCTACTCCCAGAGATCACTTTAGATAGCAGTGTTGCATCACAATGAATACATACTTCAGACACATTCTTATTTTGATTTGTTAATAACTAATGATATTTATATCATATTTTATTTTCACTGCAGTTACTTAAGTCTAGAGTTTTGAAGTCTTTGAAGCAAATGTGCAGAACTGATCATCTGAGTGACATGTTGTTTACTAATCCATAGGCCCACAAGTAATTGGGAATTTTTTTTATTTCACTGAACAATATTTCAGGAGCACACACTACTGGCAGGAACTTGTGCTGAGCACTGTGGGTACAAAGGTGGACAAGACAGACGCAATCTCCACCTCCATGAAAATCAGGAAAGGCTTTAAATTAAGTGATATTTAAAAGAAAGAGCATAAACCTCACACTTGTCTAAATTTAAGTGCTTGATTTAAAGAAAAAGGAAATTCATCAAAACAGAACATTTCCTAGTTCCCAAAAGAGTGGTCATTTTTGTTCGGAAAATAATTTTCTGAGAAGCCCTCCATTTGGCAAGAATTTCTTAAACTAAAACCAACAGCAGTAATAAAAACTCTAGGTCTCCTTGAAAACGTGAATCGGAAATGGAACTTCGCATTTGTCTTGAAACACGATCCTTATAAGTAGGATTGGAAATCCCACAATTTCACATCTGCCTGGACATAAATCCCCTTCCAAACAGTTCACTGTCAGCTGGACGTTTGCAAAAGGAGAAGTGATGGCAGCTATGGCTCAAATAGCAACTTGCAACGGATGGAGAGGCTAGAACTACTCTCCACCCACCTTGCAGTGTCTAGACTCAACGCAATGCCTGGCGAGACACGCAAAACTTTT